CGAATTAGCGCCCATCCTAAAGGCAGAAAAAGTTAATAAGCGCCCCCCCCACCCCACCCTCACCCCCTCCTCCTCCCACTCAAATTCAATACCGTAAGCGCCTACCCCCACCCCACCCATGTGAGTGACAATGAGATTAAAATTGAAATTGGAATAAGTAGCAATAAGAGACTTCCCCGAGGACCGAGGACGGAGTTTTCTTCGGAGTATTTTACAGAAACCTTGCTTTGTTACTTCTTCGCTTTTTGTTATAGCATTTATTGTTTTGTTGCAAAATAAACATACTACACTTGCTGAAAATGGTGAAAAGTTAATAAGCGTCCAGCCTCGAATAAGCGCCCACCTCGAATAAGAGCCGAGGGCGATTAATCGAATAAATACGGTAAGTTAAAATGTTAGTCTGACGACTTTTGAATCAATTAAATTCGACTGTTTATTAAACTAAATGCGATGTTTGCCGTATCTGTGACTGTCGAAGTTTCGACTAAGGTTCGACTTTTGATGCAAACGTCGCATTTCACATGTGCCCAACTTAATGCATGAATTTTTGTAAATCATTATGATTCATTTGGAGAGACTGACAGATTGACAGCGAATAGAGTTAAATTCGACTGACTTCAGCGTTTGAATCAAATGCCGTATTTAACTATTTTAATCGACCAAAATAGGAATTAGTTCGGTACTTGTGAAATTCGACGTTTGAACTGGGCCTGAGACTGTAGCGAGGGCGGTCATAGAATTGGCTGCCTTGTCGACGAACTTACCGAGTAAAGACGACTGTTTTCGCAGGTTACGTGAAGACTCAAAAATTACACTGTTTCTAGGGAAGATTTCACGAGCAGTCAGTCATTTTCAAAACTTATCTACGAAAGTTGTCGACTGACAGAAAATTGGTAGTAAATTAATGTTTCATAATTAAGTGACTCTGTCTTCCATAACTGATCAAGTGAGTAAGTGGCTTACGGGCCTCAACGTGCACATTCACGCGACCATTTCTAATTTCGATATCCTGCAAGTGGTAAATCACGTATTCGCAAAAAGAATGCCGCTCATTCCAAGATCACCTTGTCGAACTTTTTGCCGCGTGAATGACCTCTTAAAATTTGTTCAACAATTTATACTACACAGTAGAATAAAGTGACAAAAAATAGCGACACCTAGGAGATTAGGAAGCATGCATCATCTTTACACGCCTCTGTTAACGTCAAGGTCAAGTGCACTTTCGAGATACGTCAGATTTCCTGTTACATTCAACATTTGACGCAAAATTACAGGATGACGATTAAAATTATTATTTAGTTAATGAGAAATATGAATATTGTTGGGAAACTCCGATCAACGAAACCGATCACGTTCATACAGACCGTTATTTGCGTGTGCTAAATATACATCTCATCAAATAATTACCCCCTGATTTCCTCAGGCTAGGCTGTTACGTGTAATTAGTGGTCGAAATGTTTTTCGACCTTTTTCAACTCGGAGCACAGATATCCACTCTCGTCTTCTTCCCTCTACCTTTGCAACCTACGCAGGTCACTTAAGAACACTTTTTTAAAAAATAATCATCTGTTGTTGTTGTTTTGTTTTTGTAATTTTTTTTTTTTCAGTACCTACCTTCGCCTCCAACAACGTAAAGTAATCGGCTTAGCCTGTCGCGAGGGATCGCACGGGGGATTCGGTTCTTTGTTCTTCTCTCAGGAATAAGATGATAGTCTATCGCCTCGAGAACAAACTGTCTGCAGGTTGCGCTAGCCATGATTAGCTCCTCTCTTGCCGCTGTATCCATCAGAAATTTTCGCGTCATCAAAGGAAATCGGACATGCTCCAGCAATTCCTCGAGATTTACAAGTCTATTGGCCAAATCGTATTTGACCCAGTCAAGAGCACCGAACAATGCGGTGCTCTCGCATGGGACGTTTAGTTTATCGTGACAAAGAAGTTGCACCATTTGCTTTAACGACAACATATTGAAATCTTCCAGTTTTAAAATCGCCGTAAAATTTGCGCGAATAAAGCTTTCGGCCAGGTCTACTAGCTCTGAACAGCCGTGTAGGTCCGCCAAGTTCCATATTTCGATGCTATTATGGACGTTGATACTGTTTCGGAGAAAATCGTAACAAGCGTTTTCTACGGTTGGAAACTGAAGCAAACTGGCCGCTGAAAGAACTGAATGGATGTTCGAAAACGTGATTCCCAGTGATGAAGTGTAGGCAAAATCTATTAAACTTCTCAAAGCTGGCGACTCAACTCCTCTTATTGTTATATTTTTTTGATGGCTTTCTTTCATATCCGTCAGAAACATCGCTCGGAAGTAGGCGCTAACAGAAGCCAAAACAAGGCGGTGAGCGTGGAATTCTTCTCCATCGTCCGTCGAGAGAACCACATCACAAAAACTCTTCTCTAGGCGAAAATCGTTCATCTTTTGAAGAGCATCGGTCGCTCCTTGATCGTCTTTGAAATCGTAGAACACGTTTGTACCATCCATTGTGCCGGGAGTTTATCAGGTACCGTCCAACCAAAATAAAGGGCTTTTTTGAAAGAACGGCTTGTAAACAAAGGCTGATCGTCCGTCAAAGAAAATGAAATTCAGATTAGCCTTATTGTTCCCAGTTTATACCAGTAGGAGAAAGCTTTCAATTTCCTCGTCCTTTGTCTTCAGTATCGTCACAAAAGAAATGTTTGTTTGACGCCAATTGTTGCCCTCGTGTTGGACTCGTGCTTCACAAAATTACGTTCTTTTCATCTCGGATGCATAATTCTAACAACTTGTATTGTTTCAGAAACTTGACAGTCATTCAATCGCACGAAAGATCGGAACAAGGAAAACCTCAAGGAGCGTTGAAATGTGATTGGCTGGAGCGACGATGAGAAAATTTTCATTGGCCAATTTTTGCCCGTAAAAGTAACAGGTTGTTGAACGGGCTAAATCTTGTAATTTCTTTGTATGGTGTGTTTGTTTGGGTGACTTCGATTCCGCTTTTGTGTTAACGCAACCAAAATAGAATTTCGTATCAAGTAGCTGTCGATATTACCTATACACTTTAAGCCGTGTTGAAGTATTTAAT